GCGTACGCATCTGGCCTACGATGTCCTGCCGCTAGAGCGGTCTCAGGACTTGTTGGCGTCTGGGCTTGATAATACGTAGCGCTACCATCTGGATAGTAATCTGATTCATGGCCTTCTTCTGAACTCTCGCTGTCGCTCATTGTGTGCTAGCTGTAGCGGCTCTACTCGAACGAAGGTGCGCCGAAGCACACCCGTTAGTTCGGGATTTCTGGAGCAGCGAAGCTCCGCTACCACTTTGAGGGTGAAATCCCCCGCAGTGGAGCGCCTTATCTACAGTATCGACCTGGATCGAACTTACAGACTAACAACCTCACAAGAGCGTGCGAGCGAAGGCGAGCTGAGCAGCTTTTGTATCGCACAATGTACCTTGAGCCAAATGTAATGGCCGGTCGTATGCATTGCGTAAGAGCATACATAACATAAACCATATGAAGCAACAGCGAATGGGGGCCCAAAAACAAGAAACAGGGGGGCCGTTTGTAGTGATTTTTCAATTGATCCCTTCGATTTTGACCCATCTAATCGTAAACTAGAACTTCAGCCGACCTCCTTCGGAGATCGCTTTCGTGACTTTTGTGAACATGCCTGTGAAAAACACATGTGCGAAACTCTTTGGAAGACACTATATTATGAGAAAAAGACATGACAGACTCTTGAGAGACAGTCCCAAGAGACAATGCTTAATGTTTTTTAAAAAAATGACAGAATCTCTCGACAAGACATTTTTTAGGGAAGACTCGTGCAAAGAAACTCTTGGTACAATGTTTTCGACAAAAATGTTTGCTAAAACAAACAACATATTCGGACACCAAGTTGAGCTTTGGACTCTGAAAGGAGCCACGTGTTGTCCAAGTGCATGGTTTCAACTTTTGCCCCGCCTGTCCAACAATCAGCTCCCAAATATCGTAGGAACTGTCAGAGCTGGGCCAAAAAAGTTCAATCGCGGCGCTCAAGACGGCACCAGCATATGGAATGAGACCTGGCCCGGTCTCCAGACTTTAAAGTTAAATGGGGGTACCACAATAGTCACCTAACCATCAACCAGCCACTGTTAATCATCCCTTTTGTAGGGGTATATGCAATAATAAACACCTTATGGTTAGTATTCCACATTGTCAGAGTATTACTCAGTGATTACCCAGTCCAAGAGGTCTATAATTGGATGTACACCTATTTTGAATGACCTTACAATGCTGACTTGATGGGATGGTTGATTCTTGCGTAACCCACATTGCTTTTGTTTATGTCATCCTCTACTTTGCCCATGTGTTTCACATATCTTCACAATACCAAAACGAAGCATGGCCAAACACATTGTGTGTTTTGAGTAACCCCTGGCATGACAAAGTCACCGCTACGAACCCTGACCTATCTGCCATCTTGTCTCACCTGCTGACAGATCTACCGCTGCTAAGTCTGATGTCCCTTCTTCTGCTCAGCTGCGCTGAGGTGACAGGGAGAAACAAAACACTCAGAGATCGACATCCAACATGTGAGGCCCTCGCCTGGTGGGAAAACGAAATCAAAACTGTGAGCTTAATTCTCCGCCGACACACTTGCAACTGATTTCGTGGCCTTCTTTGCGACGTCAGACGCTGCGGTGGTCACAAAGCCTTGTACTGTAACCTTCAGAGCATTCGAGAGCCGGTCGGTCCATGAAGTAGCACCACCACATCCATTTTGTGAAAGGCTGTCATACTCGTCCTCCTGCTTTCCGGTGACAGTTTCCATGAGGTCTTTCACGTTGCCAGGAATGTCCCAGACGAAATTAGTCAGCGCTTCCAACTCTGACTCCATTTCAGCTAGCTTTACTTCATCTTCGGCTGAACATATTTCCTCAATTCAAACGTGCCCCGAACTGGTACCGTATGGTGTCTTTCCTATCAAGGGAACCCCAACCAAAACCAACTCCAAAACAAGTAAAACATGTTGAAAACATCCATAACGAGTCTCGGAATCCAACATACGCACCTTCTTCATCTTCATCTTCTTGGCATGCTTCACCGCAACCTCTGGACTTGAAATCTGCAACAGGTCGAGCTGGTCACTGCTGTTGCAGACCAGAAGGGGGGCACCAAGGACCCGCAAGGGAGCAAGGACTAGCAATGGCACCAACATGATCTGGGCCTTCGCCTCCGCTAATTCAGGAAATCAGTGTGTATATATATATATACATATCATTGTATATGGTATCATGACAGTGTATGTGTCAAAATATGTTGGGCAATTTGGTCCATATATACATATACATAAATTGCAATATTCATCCTTGCAAAGTGCATGTAAAACACAAGTCTCCATTGCTGATAGTTCATGACTAAACATGTTGATTTGTTGTTACACGTTTGAGCTGGACTTTGCTGTTTGCCAGATGGCTGGCTGAAGAAAATAAAGACTGGCTGTGGCCACTCTGCAGTCGATGATGAAAACAACTTGCTCGTATCCAGCGGCATCTGAATCCAGGGAACTTTTTCCCTCCAACTGATCTGAAGCTTTGAAAGAGAATGTGAACCAAAATTGATCACGCAAAAGAACGCATGTCACCGACCTCGTCTGTCCAAGCATGGCATGAAGTAATTAATAAGTGTGCTGAGACCGTTCACCTCATATGACCAGAAGAATCTCAGGTTCTTGCCGCTTCCACCAGGCAAATTCTTCCCAATCCTGCAAAAGTAAAAACCTGTACGCGCCAAGTCGACCAGGATTTGATCTTTCCATACAGCTGGGTGCGGTGAAGTGAGGATTTGATCTTTCGTCTAGCTTTGGATACTTACAGTCTATCCTGACAAACATCATTGCACAACGAGTGCGAACCAAACCAGCAATGTGCAGCCGTGGAAACCAAAAGCGTCTTGTAAACTTCTTGAAAGGATGTTCTGTCAATACTTCAGACAAACAAAAGGTTACGCTTGTTAGCCTTCTTACAAAACACTCTGAGGTCAGCGGCGGATCGAATTAACAAGTCTGATTTTCGGGGCAGGTATGGGACGGTCAATTATCACACCGTTTTTATTTACAATAATAATAGGCTTTCCGGGGTGACAAATGACCGCCCACACCTTCCCTTGTCTCATGGTGTAGGATTCTAGGGGGATAGGGTTGTCATGAGTTTCAACGTCAACAAGCGCAACTTTCATCTGGCCAGTGCATTATACGCATTATATACACATGCTGCAGAGTTGTTGAATTGAGCTACGCATGGCTATGCATGGCTATCGTGCGCAATAAGTAGACCAAGCACCAAATCGCAGCTTGCTAGGTCAATGTTCACAGTCTCGTTGTGTCCTTCTTGGTCCAACAAAATCGCTCGTCCATGTTCTGTGGCAATCAGCAGTTAACGAGTTGGAGTTGTTTTCCACGCCGCGCCAGCGCACAATGTATCGCTGGACTAGCTGGACTTCTCACTCCGCTGGCTGTCCTGGCGCAGGTGGTCTCGGAGTCCAACAAGCTCAATCCCTGACAGTGATGTGATATTTCCATGGGAAGGGCCACAGCAAAACTGGAGGGCCTTGACATGACCCAATGTTTTCTCCAATTCTTCAAATCGATTTACCATGATGCACATGTAATGCGCATGTAGTCGCATTCTACGTAATGTATCAATCTATATATTAGTATACTGTACCACAGTTACAGTAGGGATTGTCAGGATCCAACTCCAACAGTGTTTTTCTTTGTTTTCAGAACATCGATCCATGCAGCCTCTGCCGCCGCCTTTTGCTCCCACCGTCGCCTGAAAGCTCGGCGCTCGGTCTCTCCGAGCAGCCACGCGCTGGAGACTCTCCAGGCCGCTGCGGTGATCGCTCCACCGCGAGGACCGCGGTGGGACTCGTCCGCCCAGGCTAAAGATCGTCCGGCTTCGCCCACGACGACGCCCTGAAGGGACCTTTAAGCTCCACGCGCGGATCCGCGACCTGATAGAAGCGATGTTAGGCACCCCCTGATTCGTAACATCGTCATCCTAGGAACCATCTAATCAATCCATGTGATGATGTGTTCGGAGGGTCGATCGTCCGGTTTCGCCCTTGGGCAACTTTCGGTGGACGCCCCCAAACAAGTGGAGCTCCTCGTAGTGGTCATCAAAACCCGTCTGGAGAGCCCGGTTCCACCATGTTCCACCCAACGAAATCATCAGGTGGAAACTTCCCCCATAAAGGGCATCTTAGAGGATGTTGGAGGGCCAACGGAAAAAACACAAAAATAGGCGCCAGACGGTCCGGCGGAAAACGGCGCCATCTGCTTGCGCGGCGCCATATTTGCGACCCGGAGGCCTCGCGCCTGCAAACATGAATCCTACCATCGATGGGACCAGTTCTTCTCGGAGCTCCGATCCGAAGCTCCAAGCGATCCCTAGCTGCCTAGCTATTTGGAGGCGCCTTGAGCGCCAAACCTAGCCAACTGCCGGGTATGGTGATTATAAGCCCAGCGCCAACTAGCGTCAATTGCCGGCTGTGTCTGTTCGGTGCTTTTTCGACTGAACGTAACCACATACATCCACATACTTACGTTTCGTCGCAGCCTTGTTCAGCCATACCCAGGACTGTAGAAGACATACTCGGGGAGATCATCCCCGTCTCGTCCGAGTGCACCCTCGGGATGTCACTTCCTCCGCGGGCTTCGGCCGCCACTTCAGCGGCGTCGGGCCGTGGCTTCGGCCGCCTGAACCGCCAGGGATTGGATGGGCGAGAAAGGCGAGAAAGGCTTAAGGGATCTTAAGGGATCTTAAGGGGGGAAGTTTGGCTGGCCTGGCCCCCCCTCTGTTCTAAAGGGCCAATTGAAACCTTGAACTGCCGGACAGTTCTTCCAACAGGGTCATGGGGATGATTTTTGGGTGAGACATTGGGGGCCCCCGCAACGTGAGCAACTACTCAGTGTGGACTCCATCCCCCGGGCCTTCGCGCCACTTGCGAACCAAACAGCAGCTTTACTCCTGTGAGATCTCAAACGAGAGGAACGGAAAGAAACTGCTCTTGACGCGAAGAGTGAAGTTATCAAAGTGACGATCAACTGGTCCACATCAACTGGTTCAACGCACGAGCGCTCGGCGGTATGAGACCAACCAAGTGGGTGAACGAAGGATGCGGTATAAGGCGCACCGTGGAATCATGCACGATTGCATCTTCGAAAGACACGTCTTGGCACAGCTCCGGTGTCCCCAGTCTATCTTTCCGTTAAAAATCCTTGAACCACCACACCAGCCAATCTGAAGCTTTGATTCATGAACACTCTGCCAGCAAATCTCCTTAAATTTAAACACATACACGCTAATACACACCTGCAGAAGCACGATGAATGACTGCGCACTACCATGACATACCATGACTACAGTCACTATAGATGTCACTAGTGCAAACGCCCCAGTTCTCAAATCACCCATCCCCCCGAGGGCTCCGTCTCCATAGCTCGTGGGCCCTCCTGCTCGGGCGCAGGCTTCGAGCCGCCCACCAAGGAGAGGATGGAGGGCAAGAGCCACAGGCCGTGCGCGCCCGCAATGGTCACGACCAGGAAGAGCACCTGCGGCCGTGCGGCACTTTGTGCGGCGATGGTGCTGTCGACATCGGCCGATAGGGAGAGGACGATAGGGAGAGGTATTCAAGAGTCAGAGGTGGAAGAAACAGTGATTGATTTTTTGGAGATATGACATGAGATGAAATATGGTATATCAATGTTCAATTGACATCAACCACCCTGGAAGAATAGGATATTTCAATGAGATGTCCAGAGAAAAAGAAAACTCTTTGAATGAAAACCGCACCGTCTCGTTCTTCGGCCCGACCGTCTCGTTCGGAACGGCTCAGATGTCCGCAATAAAACTCGTCCCAGGCCACTGCAGATGGTCCAGGACTAGCGTCGGCTCCAGTCTCGTTCTTCGTGACGGTTCGTTTCGGCCTTGAAGAAGATGCGGAAGACATAGCTATCGGAGAAGCCGACGACCACCACCTGAGCCCAGCCACTGGGTCCGGTCGTCCCAGTCCCAACGACTCATCCAAGAACGGAACCACGCACCAAGGCGCGTTGGGCGCGGGTGCCGTAAGCAAAGGGGCGCCCCCATTCACTCATTCACCCCCCAAAAACCATCAAATGTATCCCAATTGATTCCAAATCTATCACATTACAGTATAGGCATGTATAGGCCATGTACTTGCATCTGCCGTTTTAGGAGCCTCTGGGATCAGCCAGATCGAATCAGCCCCGAAAACATCGAAACAATCGAAATCCTCCGAGTCAAAGAAAGACAACTTGGAAGAGACAGGGCCGTCCTCGAAGGAAGAGGAACATGGCCGCGGAGCCGCAGACGACTGCTCTCCTCTACCAACAGGGGAGAGAACCACTTTCATGATGGTTTCAGGGAAGATACTTTATCATGCACTAGCTTGATGGGTTGCAAAGTCCCCTACTTGGTCGAAGGTTCTGCTTCGGACACCCACCGCCTGGTATGTTAAGCCCAGTCAAAGTGTTAAAGTGTCATCTTTGCAGGGAACGACACCACTTTGCCGCACCCCAGTTCTACTCTCAAAGATCTCAAAGAAACAGTCCACTTGTTGAAATCGCCACCTATGGGCATGGCCGAGGAAAGGTGCCGAGAACAGGATGTCCCGCAGCCTTTTCGCGGACTCCAAGTCCAAAACATGCTGCCTTCCCCGTCCAGTACATGGCAACCCACTCTCCAAACCCCACTCGACTCTCCATGCCAGGCGCCGCCAGCAAGGTGGAGAGCACGGCGTTGAAGGTACAAACCCCAATCCTTGGCGCCACGGCGTCCCGTAAGAATTGGCTGCCAGAGCCCTGGTCAGTCACGGACATCACATGACGACGAGCCAACCAGCCACGTTCTCCGTGCCACGGAGCCACGGTCGCCGGTTCGACGCCAGGGCTCCGATCCACCGAGTTGATGGCACGCTCCCGTGCGCTGCCCGTGGACTCCTGGAGAGAAACGGAGGGACTCCACGCAGGTGGGTCGATGAGAAACAGGGCAGTCCAGTGCAACAGCGTCTGTTGTTGTACATCTTTTATGGCATGTCTTTAATTCTGGTGCTGAAGCGGCCACAAACAGTGCCTTCGAAGTATTCTTCAAGCGCAAGAGGAAGAAAAAGAGGCTGAGAGCGAAAGCAGCGAAAGCAGCGAAAGCTCAACTGTTGCAGAATGTCTGGAGCCGAGCATCATGTGATGCCTCATGTTTCAACCACCCTCACCTGCAGCCGCTTGGATCCCTCACCCGCAGAAAAGCCCGGTGTTCTCCTTAAACATGTGTGCGATGTGGGCGGCATAGTCCACCGCGAGACCCACGCAAATCAGCACATAGATCCTCGCGAGACCGCGCGCTGGACGACCGTCTGGCTGGACCGGCGACCCCCGTCTTCAAACGCCCGTCGACGGGGCGCCCGCCAAATCGAGGGCGTCGATTGGAGGGTCTGGAGCTTTGGACATGGTCTTTTTGTTAATCATGATTGGAGGGAATGGAATCAGGAATCATTTCAGTTTTGAGCCATGCCGGAATCATCCGGACATCCAATTATATAGCAACTGATGAGTCCCACGCCTTCAACATCCCTTCCATGCCACCAGGGACCTGTTTTCTCCTTCGATGACAGCGACGGGGCCAACCCTGAGGTTCCCGACGTGGACACACCGCTGATGGTGACATCCCAGAAGTACATGTAGCCCAAGGTGTCGACGATGGACAAGCACACGCACAGCACCACCTGAGTGTGGGAAAGCCGAGAGATCTTACATCATAACATATCAAGAAAGTGAATACAGTATGTCAGACTGCGACGACCCTCGATTCCTAGAGCGACAAACACAAACATGTGACTTTTTAATATGACGTAATCAATTCAATTTGCAAAACGCAAGTGTATCTGATATACATGTCTGATACTATCCGGCCATCACGATTCCGTGGACTTCACTCAGATGGATCCTTCTGCTCTGCTCTGCATCCTGGTCCGATGGTCGAGGCGCCCAAATGGCAATCCGCGGGTTGGGCACCAAGGCGAAGATCACCTCAGCTCGCTCGCTTCACCCGCGGAACCGCCCGTCGACCCCGCCGAGCTCGGAGCTCGGTGGCGTGGGTGTGGTCCCCCGGCTGTGCCCGGACCGAGTGACGTGGATCGAAAGGGAAAAAAAAAACAAGGAGCACGAGGTCCCGGTGCGAGAAGAAGGACTGGATGCGCGGTGAGAGGAGGTCAAAGAAGGACTGGGATCGATTTAGATCATGTGGTACCAGTGCCCTGAAACCAAGCGCAGTGTGAGTCTGTGGTGGAACATGCTGGATTTCCCGCCATCAACTCTGATGGGTCAATCGACAAGTTGAGAGAATTCTACAGACCGACCTGGCCCCAGCGACCTGGCCCCTTCTCCAAAAAGGATCCTTCTCAGGTCCAAACATCTAGGAGAATCAGCCAGTAGTGGTGTTGTTTAGGAGATAATAAAAAACAAAAAATACAGGGTCCATTTGAATACCACAGTGATACCACATTGGGGGGTCTCCTCTATCAACAAGCAGATGCCCGCCCTCCGCCTGGATTCAGCATGCTTCAGCCAAGATCACCACTAAAATCACCGCACCGCAAATGGCCAAGTTCTTCATGAGCTCCTCGTCGATGATTCCCACCTCGCCCGGCCGACGCGACGCCGATCGTGGCTCGTCGCGGTCTCTCCGCGGCGGTGGTTGCAGCGTCGAGGGGGGGCGGTGGTTCAGCGCCTCTTCCCAATAGAGGAAGTCAAAGCTGTAGGGGAAAGCACCCGTGTAGAGCCGGTCCACCTGCGCGCGCGCGCTCTGTCTGGCGCCTGTCTGTGTCGTGGGTTCTACGCTCTGCCCCCCGGTCGTGGGGTGGAAACGAAGATGACCTGAACTCTCGAAAATGATTGACCACAGACCTTTCGGTCTGGTTTCAGCTTGGCTGTGAATGATGACGCCTGGGGCCACTTTGACGGTTTTGATCTTTTGGAATATATAGTTAGTTGTGCTGCTTCGTGATGAATCAAATCATCAAAATTGTCAGGGGTTGCATGCATTGCTTGCGAATTGCACCAAGAAGCCACAAGAGCTCTGCCAATCATGATGTTGGAACATCCGAATCACATGCCGAACACCACTCCTGCTTCCTGATCCTTCCTGCTTCTGCGCTCCTGCGCTCTGCGGGAACTTACCGGAGCAGAAATGCGGGACGTCGAGATCGTTCCCGCCATCTTCCCCAGCGCCCAGAGTCTGGCCTCACTTCTCATGCTTGTCATGGTGTCGAAGCGGTCTGTGCCTGTCATAGCAGTGCTGCACATGCTATGCCAGCTGCCACGAGCATCGGAGAGCCATGACCATAAAATGAAATACGGGTGAACATGGTACAATTCCAGTATGTGTTCAAAAACATGATTCCATAATCCATTTGGATTATGATAGAATATGATAGAATCATGTATACCCTTCTGTGATTATGCTCTAACGCCTCATGATGTCTGTACGTAGGCAGCATAGCACTAGTTCCATGGATTCCATGTATCGGAAACCAACTGATACGACCACAAACCACTGATGCACCACTCCCCCCCGAGCCACCACCGTCCACCACCGTCCACCACTGTCCCCCGGCCTCGGTTGGTGGCGGCCAACGAAAGCTCAGCATTGAAGCGCGTGGCCAGCAAGCCCTCGGTCCTGGCAGGCGGACCGGTCGGAGACGGGGAGACGGGCAGAAAGCAGGTTGGTTCGTTCTCAGATCGAATGAACCTTCGTTCGATGGTTTGTCCTTCTCATGATGTTGGTGAACATCATCTTTGAGGGTTCTTCGAACCCAGTAAAGAACACACACTCTTTCTTGTCGCCTCTTGTGCGTACAAAACAGAGAGAGAGAAGCAGAGAAACCAAGTTCAATGTGTTCGTTCTGAGCTTGGCACGGAGTGCATCCAGCTGGCACATGGTCCATGCTGCTCTCCACCTCAGTCCTCAGTCCAAGCTGCTCAACCACCAGGGTGCGAAGGATATATCCTTACTGTATGATTGTAAATTGATATATAGCTTATAGTATTATATTTACATGCATATATTTATACGCATCATATACGTACCTTGACGGCGTTTCAAGCACCCCAATGTATGACAGTGCATGGAAAATAGATCTTCCAAGCATTTCGGGACTGTCTGGGCCATGTCTGGGTCTTAGTTGCATCATGTTGTATATGGCCTCGTCTGGTTCACACATTTTTCGCTGTCCAGTTGTACCTTCCGTCGCCCGTCTCTCCTCCGCTCAATCCGCCTTGTCAGCCCATCGCAGGGAGTTGCGGTAGCGAGCCCCCACGTTGGTACGATACCTGGTTTCTTGGAGTTTTGAGCATGGTGAACATGGAGGATCTGACTGTTACCAGAATCAAGCAACCAGGAAACCAGGTATGCTTTTACAGAAGACCATGCAACAAACTTACATGACATAGCATAACCTGGATCTGCAAGGAGTGTACAAGGAAGATCCACAAGTAGTGCAAGGACGTGTAAGATAGCTAATTACTAAGTAATTAGTCCATTGACTGGTCAGTGTTCATTAAAATGGATCTGCTTCACTCAAAGTTTCAGGCCCTTGCCAGGTACTCTTCACAATTTCACATCTGCTTGAGGGACCCAGCCTTCCTAAGACAAATAGATGACCCTCGTCAGACGACGACCCTCATACGATCCGCTCTTCAGGATGGATCACCACAAGTGCAAGGCCGTGTAGAACTGGTTCCGGTCCGTGAAGACCGCGGTCGCTCCGCTCCGCGAGGGCGAGAAGCTGTCGTTCGCAGTGGCCACCTGGGATGGTGGCAACATGTATGCAACATGTGCATTATCTAAGCTAATTATACAGTATCTAAGAAGTATCTAATCAAAACTGTTCATAATATATGTTCATTCTCCAAAGATGTTCCTTCTCCAAATACCATGCTCTCTCCTATTCTCCACTGATGTCCACCTGTCCACCTCATCCCCTCAACTGGTCCAGTTCCCGCCCACCGTTCAGCTCCTGCGCCTGGTTCGGCTCGGTGGCCCAGTCCATGAACTCCTGGTACCAGCTGTCCACCGCCACATCCTGACGTCTCGAGACCACGCACGTCGTCTCGAGACCTGTACCCGCCGAGCAAGAGACGGGTCGAGGGGAAACGAGAACGTCGTTCCGTTTCGCTGCCTTTCTTCGGGTTTCTTCAAGCCCCGCCTCTTTTGAATCTGTTTCCACAACCATTTCTGTGTGTTTTTGGAATGATGGTTGAATTCGTTTACAACTATCTGTTTCTTTCTTTCTCCAACCTCCCCTGCTATCAAGATCCTAACGAAGAGATCCCCCCAAACTTCAGGTCGAGACCGAACACCCACGGGCCCCGCGGACCGGACTCTCGTTCTGAACACGGAGGACTCCAGCAGCCAGCAGCTTGGGGCCGGGGGATCCCTCCCCAGCCCTCTGAAGGATTCACCAACTTGATCCATCCAATTGGTTCTGAAGGATATAGTTGTCCAATGTTGTCCACTATGTTGTCCTTACAGCCTCATCCGCCATGGTGGTAAGGACGGAGTGCTGTATACCCGTGGTGAGTGCTGTATACCCTCCACTTTGTTCTTGGTTTCGCCTTGCCCTTCGAAACTGTTCCATGTCATTCCACGATTTCACCGTCTCAAAACGTTAGACATGAAGGTCCATCACCAAATGGTTCGGTCCTCACCGACCTCACCCGACCCACCCCAGTTCGGCTTGGCTTGGGCGTTGGGCTGGGGAGCAAACCTTTTGACTCTTAAGCAAAATAAACATCGACACTTCCCTGCCCGTCCACAAAAAAGTTTTATCCGGTTCTATCCAGTTCTTACCCTGCAAGCGTCAGGGTTGATCAGGCTGGTGCTGTTCAAGTACCCGTAGACCTCACGCAGGTTGCTCTGCATCCTTGGAGAAAGGCATGCGCCGACATCTGTCCATTGAGGATCCTGGTTCCCAAGCAGTGCAAGACTCACACATGACATGTCCGCATCGAGCGCTAATTGCAACCTTCCATTTCCTTCCGCCTTGCGTTTTGGTGTCAAAGAACCACCCAACATACCTCAAGCAGTCCTTGAAACAGCCCCTCCAAAGACCCAACAACACCCGCACCCACACACCTACCTGTCCCTCACCAAGGGGCAACCTGTTTTTTAACCCTGAAGCATTTTTTTTCTAACCCTGACCTTTTTTTAACCCTGGAACCTTCTTTTCTAACCCTAGACTAAATCTATTTAAGCCCCGGGTTAAAATAGAGTAGTTTCTTCAAGCTTAGGACGACAGGTGAAACGACTTCAAGGAAGCTAGTTGCAGCACCACCAGTTGAATGTTCACCTCTAAGGCTGAGGCAATCCTCACACGCGACCAGTTGAAGAATCGGTCTGCATCTTCGCCATCTTCATCATTCTGATGCAATATGTATTATTGCCAAGGCCTTCACAAATACTTGCCTTCAACGCGCCTGCCTTCAATGTTCAACGCGCCTTCAATGTAATCCTGCCTTCAACGCGCCTGACTCGATTCAATGATTCAACTCAACAATGTGCCACTCGGTCCAAAATGCTATACTCTGTCTGTCTGTCTGTCTGTCTGTCCTGTCTTGTCTTGTCTTGTCTTGTCTTGTCTTGTCTGTCTGGTCTGTCTGGTCTGTCTGGTCTGTCTGGTCTGTCTGGT